AACTCCCTGGTAGGCCAAAGGCCGAAGCACTAGCAGCTCATGGGGTACTCAGACTTCTCCCAAACTTGGTCCTTCGTGCGGGTACCTCACACTTGGTTTCAACTAATGGTTTGTTGTTACATCCTTCCAATGGCTTTGTGTTCCATGTTCCTAAAAATAAAAATCTACACTACAAGAATAATACAATAATAAATAAAATAAAATAAAATAGGGTTGCCTCCCAATAAGCGCTTGATTTAAAGTCGCGGCACGATGCAAATAATTTTACCACTTTTCTCGCCACTTGGACGATATGAACTGTGCACCTAGCTTGGAATCAAGTTTGTGACCACGAGCGATAGGGGGTGGTAAGTTGATTATCGAGCCGATCCTTAAATTCTTCATTTTGCACTTCTTGGCTCTCATGTGAGGAATGTCATTTTGGTTTTTTGTTTCCTCAAATTGTAAAATGTATGGTTGTTGCTTTTCCTCCTTGCAGTCCCTCACGGACTCATGTAGTTCAAGTTTTATATCACTACACAATTCTAATGTTGAAAAATGCTTGGAATGTGACTTCAAACCTTCATTTTGCAATTTTTCTATTCTGACATCCTCTTCTTCCCCCGGACTAGAGTCATTCTCAACCAGATTTTTATTTACACCGGTTGATTCTAAGTTCATGCTTTTTCTCGGCATCATTGGTACTCATGGGGTCGGTTGGCGGAGGTTCAATTCTTGACTCTTCAAATTTTAGCTCACATTCTTCCTCATTTTCTAGAATGATCTCCAACATGAGCATTATTTTCTCATTTTGGGCATTTGAGAGTTCTTGGATTTGATTAAGTGCCAAGGAATTTTGGAGACTATTTTCCAAAAGCTCCTCCAAGGCATTATGTTCTTTGTTTCCTCCTTCAAGTAAGCACTCCAACATGAGCTTGAACTCTCCCTTTCGGCCATGCTCAACTTCTTCCAATTCGTTAGCCCTATCACTTTCATAAAAAACAATAGAATCATCATAGCGGGGGCTTGGGGAAGGGAAGGAACAATCAACACAATCATCCCAATGACCATTTTGAAAACCACACTTATCACGAATACTCCACTCATGGGTTTGAGATTGTGCGCACAATCCACCCCCGGGAAAATTTAAACAATTTTGCCACGAGTGTGGTCCTCCACAATAAAGACAAGGGTCATCACAGTATGAACAACTACCATCCCACCAATTTTTATTATATGATGCCATTTTTCAAAACTAAGAAAATAAACAAGACCCAAACAATAAAAATAGACTAAGGTAAGAAAAATTAATTACACAAATATTCACAAGTTGGGTATAGAGAAAACTGACCATACTAAGAATTTTTGTATTTCTATCAATGGTAATTGATAATTCTCCCCGGCAACGGCGCCAAAAATTTGATCACGCCCAACTATGCCTTATAAAAAGGACAATGCGGACGTTGCAAATATAACCTGAGTATTCTGCCCATTGTCGAATCCACAGAGAATTAACCTATCAATCACAATCTTTAGAACTACTAAACTCTTGAGAACCAATTTCCCCAAACGTTTGAATCATACTTGATGGTGTCTTCAATAACTAAAATTGCAAGTAAATAAACAGCTGTAAACTAAGGATGCTAAGGTTGTAAACAATAATGAGAAGACGCTAAGGTAATGACTTCCCCTATTGATGGAATCCTTTATGTTTATGCTTCATACAAATTTCCCAACACACCTCTATCAATCATAAACACTTTTCGTACCGTAAATCTCTCCCGAGTAATCACAGTAATATACTATTGCACTCTCCTGAGATACACTAGCTAGCTTTAATTAACACAGTTCACATAAGATTGCACCCAAGGCTTCGTTATCCCTAATCCCGCCTTTAAACCCTCAGTTATAGATCTCTCTTATACTTTGGGAGTAGTGTTGTTCAACAATAACCTAAATATGCACTCTCTCCCGAGTTATGCACACTAAATATGCACAGCTAATTGAGAATCCTGTCAATTAACTACAACATACACAAAGTTGAACAAATAAAGATTGAGACTAGCAATTTGTATTTACATAAACAAGAAGTTCATCCCCAAATAGGTTCCATCAAAACCTTAGATAAATGATTTAGCTACTCATAACTATGGGTAAATAAACTAAAATAATATTCATCATAAAACTTGCAAGAAAAATAAAGAGAAGAAGAAACCAAAATGTTTTGGGTGATCTCTCACACTTGTTCTTCTTCCAAAAATACTCTCCAAAACAATACATGCCTCTCTTGGGCGGAGTCTGGTGTTTAAAATAAGGTTTTGGGCTAAAAATCCCGTGTTTTGCACTTTAGTCCCTGAAATTTCCGCCTCCTGCCGCGGTTCTACCGCGGTCGCGGTCAAACCGCGGCCAAACATGGCCTCTGATTCTTCAATTGTCTGCGTCTGCACTGTGCCGCGGTTCTGCCGCGGTCGCGGTGAAACCGCGATTTTTCATCCTGTTCAGCTTGGAATTTGGAAAAACTCAAATCATGAAAGTTGTATCCCTTTGAGTTGTATTTCCAACCATATATTATGGAGCCAAAATGGAATTCTGAGTAAAAGGTTATGTGCAGTTTACTAGACAGTGCGTAATATGCCTCATCGAGTCTTCGTTTGTTCTCAACTATCAAATTTGACCCCCGAACACGATCCCAGATTAATTCCTTGAGCTTTTACTCAGACTTCAAAGCTTCAAATCACTTAAATTCATTCCATAACATCTATATAGCTCGGAATCACACCTACAAGGCATAAAACACATAATTAGTGCAAAACACTAGCGATTAAAGCGCAAACTCAACTAAAGTGCAGTAAATTAGAGTGTAATAATCAACTAAAACACATAATTATAGCCTATCATCAGAAAGCATACTCACCTTTTTAATAAACAGAAAATGGACTTGTTTCATCTCTTTCTTTACCAGCCATTGTTCCAATCAAGGGAAGAGTAGTTATATTCTCAAAAAGCGTATGTCTCTTTGACTCTTGGTATTTTAGTCGACATTGTAGCAATAAATTTTGCTTTTTCTCTACTGCCATCTCTTTGTATTTTTCACGTCGACTGACATTTCTATCTGTCTCTGAGAGGGGACATTTATTTTTTTGTGTATGATCTATCACAGTCGTAGTATTTACTCCTAAATGAAGTTGTGCAAACTGTCACACAACCCTTTAGCAAGATATCAATTTATATTAGCGAGTATGTAGAAGCACAAAAAGGTACCGCACTTTGATATACGTGACACCTGCTGTGACCACCAACAGCAGCTATCGTCAAACAACATTGCAGATAAATACAGTACCACAACTTGTAGAAACAAAAACGAGGCGCAACATTAACGGTTAGTAGTACAACGGGCAGGAGAAATAGAGGATGTGCTAATAAGAGCCTGCGTTTACAAATATATAAAGATAAGATAGTTGGTTACCTGTAAGCACGTCGAGCAACTTTTTTTGTTGGACCAAAATGTAACAGAAGCGTTAGCAATTCTAGAAAGGCAGAAATAAGTTGTAGTCATGGTTAGCATCAACTTCAACACATTGTGCATTCAAAATACTCGCAAAAATATTAAGATGAATGGTAAAGACAAGAAAGAAGATCACTATAGTAAACTCTATTAGCAGACCAAATATGTGGATATGCAGTAAAAAATAGTAATAAAGAAACTAAAACTTGTGAATAGGAAATAACACGAACATCTAAAAATAAAAGAAATTGGGAGTTAAAAAGAAAAGTGGTTGTAACGTAATAAAAAAATAATGGAAACATGTTCTACCTGGGAAGCAAACAAGATGTTATCTGGTTTTATATCACGATGTGCCACTCCCATTTTGTCAGAATAATTAATTGGTAAAACCAATTTCCTTAAAATAACAACAACAGCTTTCTCAGAAAATAGTGAGAAGGGAGTGAAAAGAAAGGAAATAACTGAAATATGCTCTAACAATTTGTTACAAACTATTCATTCATTGTGGGGACACGCACGTACACTCACACCCTCTCGCGCTCATTCATTCTCATTGTCACTCACTCATCTTTACTCCTCAGACACACCACACCAGTCTCATACGCACTCCCGCACACCCTTAGAAAGGCATAAGAACAGCTTTGGCACTTACTGATAAACAAAGCAAAGTAACTGTTGAATCGTATTTATTGGTAGGATGAAGGTTTTCCTCGTGGCAAAGAAATTGAATGTACTATAGAAGCACATAAGAATTTATTTTACATGCTAACACTGGTGGAACTAAAGATGCAAATTCGGTTGTTTTATTCTTTGGCATAAAATTATCAAGTTGTTATTGGTTAAAAAAATATAACAATAGTAATAATATAAAGACATATACTTCATATTTAACGTGCATCAAAACTGCAAAGTAGAGAGTACTATTAATAACTCAACCTTAAAAATTCAAAATCTGCAACAAAAGATCAATGGTAACCATCAATACTGAAATTGAAACAACAAGATTAGGCTAAATAACTGGTTGATATAACATATAAGATTGTTGGAGCCAACTCTGACAGTTCTAGATCTATTTGTGCTTTTACTGATATATCTAATTCGTAAGAAGTACAAAAAAATAAGTTAAGATAGATTAATATTAAGTGAAAGCCTGAATAGGTAACAATAGTAAGCCATAATGAAAACATAAGTTCAGACAGTTGATACATCACTAAAAGTTTCCCCTGATTGTTTTCTCTATTGGTTCCTTGGAAGCATATGGAGTCCGTTCAGAAGATTATTTCAATTCCTTACTGAGAATCAAATAAGCTCTATCTACTACAAACTGAAGCAGGAAAAAAAACTTGATATAGCATTGCGAGTATTCAGTGAATGACAACTCCAATTTATAAAGAAATTCCCACGAAACTACAGCAGGTGCAAACATAACTGTAACAGTAAATAGTTCACAATTTGATCAAGGAAAGACTGTTTTCTCAGACCAAAGAAGACTAAAGTCTTTCCCATTGACCAGTTCCACAACCAAGTGACTTCAACACAGAACAACTTGAGCAACTCTGATTTTCTTATTGTTATTAAATCCACCGAGGGAAAAACATGGCGGCTTGCTTGTGTAGTCCTTCATATATATACTTCTATCAGAAAATGATAGTAAGTACGTCTAATAAAGATACCTTTTCAATTAACTCAGGCACACAAACAGAATATGTTCCATAAAATTTTATTAACTACTACTCCTAAACATTTTATTTCTACTTTAATGTATTAGTTACGGTCTGCCATTCGAGTTCTTTTAATTATATAAATAAGTTATAATATTTGTTTCTTCGTAATCCGTTGATTTTGCTCATCAAACAATCGCCTTCAGTTAGCATGGTAGTTTTTATCCCTTTAACTTTTGCAACTAGTAATTAGTAAACATCAGACAGCTGAAAAATTGAACAAGTTGTGTAATCTAATCTCAAATTTATAGATCAAACAAAGTAATCACTTGTGAGCAAACGAGCACAGATACAAAAAGGTAAACAGTGAAATATGGAGAGAAAACTCAAGCAGAACAACGTCTAATCTAGAATTTATTCAGCGGTCATAGCTAAACAATTCTATAAAGTGTCAAATATAACCCTAAAAGCGATATTTATAAATATAAACATGAATATGAACAATATTTCCGGTATTTATTTACTCATATAACTAATCGAATTTCTATTACTACTGATATTGGTAGAAGTGGTAGTGATTGTGATTATCTAACTGTTACAAGTCATTGGATAGATGAGGAGTGGACAATGCAAAAACGCATTATTGTGTATAGAATAATTAATTCACGTCACACAGGTAAGTTTATAGCTAACACTGTTGCAGATATTTGTAGATATTTTTGCTTTAGAGATAAAATAATGGCAATTTCTATGGATAATGCATCTAGTAACACTAGTGCTATAGGCATACTTACAACAACACTAACTCCTGCATTTAGGAATATATTCCATGTTAGATGTATTTGTCATATTTATCATTTAATTGTCGGTGATGGTATGCGAATTTTAAATTTAGAAATTGAAAAGGTTAGAATGGCTCTTAATTGGCTTTTTTATTCAAACCGTAGAAGTAGACTTGGAGATTATTTTAAAAAATATGATGAATATGGCCTTAGAGAAATAAAGGTTCTTAAAGCTTGCCCGACTAGATGGAATTGTATGTACGAAAGTTTAGTAGTTGCATATGAATATAGAAACCCAATTAATGCAACGTTTAATGCTCGGGTAGGTGGTGAGGATGATGATGAAATGCTTACTACTCAAGATTGGACGAATGTTAAAATTCTTATAGATTTTTTAGAACATTTTCAAATTGCTACAAATGCATTTTCTGGGCAATATTATCCTACTATTTCAAACTGTTTAGTTTATATTGCAGCACTATGTGATTTGTTTGTTGAATTTTCGGAGGGTGGGGAAATTTATCAACTTGCTATAAATGAAATGAAAGAAAAGTTTAAAAAATATTTTTTCCCTATCCCTCCTATTTATGGTGTTGCTGCAATGTTAAATCCTATAATGAAATTAGGAGGTCATCATTTTTGGTACTCAAATATTTGTAAGGCTTTAGATCTTTCAAATGAGGAATTTGCTACACTTGTAGATGCAAAAGCCTCAATTAAAATTAATGCTCAAACAATTTATAATGATTATCAACTTGCCTTAGAGCATGCTAGGCCAAATGTTCCAACCCCTACTTCGTCTAGTTCACAATCGTCTAAAAGAGCTG